AACGTATCTGCACTGCAGTTTATCAAATGAATGATAAAGTCTTATTGGTCAAGAAAAAAAATGAAGTATGTATTTTTTTTCTGGTTTAACTAAAATAAATAATTTTCTTAGTTAGCTGTGGGACTTTTTTCTTGCTTTAGCATGATAATATTCTGTCCTGTCATGCTGTCTGTCATCAGTCTCATTACACAGATGGTAAAGTCTCATCCCGTGAAGGAATTTAGTGGGATCTTGTGAGACCTGCACATGATCTGAATGATCACAAGATGGATCATGTCAAACCAATGGTGTGTCGGACACATGTTGCTCCTTAACATCCAAAAGCTTCCAAATTTGTCAGCCTTACATCAAAGCAATCCTGTTAATATGCATGATCACACGAGAGTCGAGGTGCACAGTATATTTGACTCATGACCGTCTCTACAACATCAGTGTGTGTGCAGGAAGAACTGCATGGAGGCAATGTTTGTTTGGGTGTAATATTTCAGGTGCCCTACAGAAAGATGAGCCTTTCCCATAATATATTTGGCTAGCTGGATAGACTTTCACTGCCTCCCATTTGACCTCGATCCTACATACACACCAAGACCAAAAAGCTCATGGAAAGAGACCAATAATGGGAAAACAACCAGATGGAGAACATTCTGGATTGATCTTAAACAATATCATCACTGCAGTATTTTTCTCTAATGTTGTGCAGCCCTACTCAAAAATGGCTATTAAAACTTGAACAAATCCTGAACAAACTCTGAAAGTGTAGCTGGTGGATAAATGTCTCCCAAGTCTATCTCAAGATAGTTTATGAATGCATCTGAAAGAAGAGTAAAGTTTTAAATCTGCCCTGCAGTCTCTTCTCATTTGCTCCTGGTTGTGATACTTTTTTTTCTTCCAGTTTTAATTGGTTTTGGCAGAGCAACAGAGGTGGTTACATCACTGATGATGGCTCATTACTCTCTAGTTATTAGCTCTTTGGTTATGTTTATGTAATGTAGCTGAATCTTGCAGAATTGGGACAAAGTAGTGGGGCAGCAGTGCATAGACCTATAAATGCATGTTGATAACTTTAGTCAGCTGGAAAGTTGTGGTTGGTAAGTTTGGAAGTTGGAGCTGAAGCATCACTAAGCTGCATGGCTGAGTGGTGCTCAGGTGTTAAATGTCCTGGTAAATCAAGACCCATGGCATTTCCAGGAAGTAAGGTTTAAACTGGCACTGAGCAGAGCAACAGTTGAGATGAAGCTTATTTTCCATGACTTCATTACGAATAATAGAAAATAAATGAAATGCATTTCTCCCTCTCTCTTTTTTTTTTTCTCTGTGTAACAGAGCAGAGGCGGTGGTCATCTCAGGGAGGAAGCTGGCTCGTCAGATCCGGGAAGAAACCCGTGCCGATGTGGATCAGTGGGTCTTAGCCGGCAACAGGAGGCCCCACCTGAGTGTCATTCTGGTTGGAGACAACCCAGCCAGTCACTCCTACGTTCTCAACAAGACTCGGGCTGCAGCCGACATCGGTAAGCAGGGGGAACCATCTTCAACTGTAAAAACACAATTTCAACTTTGACTTGTGGTGTGAAACCTCGTCAGTCACCATGAGTCTTTTTTTGTTTGTTTGTTGTTTTTTTTTAGCCTACTGGCCACACTTTGTTGCAAAACAGGAAGGACAAAAGAACACTGTATTTATGTGGCACAGATGTGTATTAATCTTTATAAATCAAAAAATGTCCAGAAAGAAATTAGAAAAGTAAATGTTTGCCTAATATTAATATCTGCAGCCTGAGCAATAAATAAAAAGTTTAATACAATTGAAACTGTGATGGACAAGGCTAGAGGAGGACACCATAACTAGAGAGGATCATAAAACTCTCCAAAGCTAATGTTTCTTTAGCAGGTTGAAACTATATATGTGTGCATATATTTAATGAAAAATTCTAAGTTAACTGCTATTATAGAAGCGGGTGAAACTGGACTATCCTGAAGTTTATCTTAATCTCATATGAGGAATAAAATGCCACTGAGGCCTGTAGTATGACTCCTTGTTTCAGAACAAGTGGACCTAATTGGAATATTATTAAAAATTGATTTTTAAATACTCAGTTTTAGTTCACATGCTCCGTCTTCTCACTTTTTACTCCCACAGGAATCTCAAGTGAGACAATTCTCAAGCACTCGGAGATCAGCGAGGAGGAGTTGCTGGACCTAATCTATAAACTCAACACAGACCCTCGTGTGGATGGCCTGCTGGTCCAGCTGCCTCTGCCAGGTATGCTAAGAACAGATCAGAGCTGTAGCTATAAGGAGCCTCCTGAGTCAGATTATCTACTCTCCTGTTAGCCAACATAGAGATGTTTGGCCTCGTGTCTTATATTTGTCCAAACTCTAACTTTTCACTATATTCGCTCAGAGCACATCGATGAGCGCACGATCTGCAATGCAGTGGCTCCTAACAAGGATGTGGACGGCTTCCACGTAGTCAACGTTGGCCGAATGTGCCTGGATCAATCCACCATGCTCCCTGCCACTCCCTGGGGAGTCTGGGAAATTATCAAACGCACAGGTAGCAGGACTGGCCCAAGCTGTACATGCTACAGCAATGATGTTGTTTTTCAAGAAATTAAATAAAATGTAACAAACAATTTATATTTGTGTCTTCCAGGTATTCCTACCTTTGGGAAGAATGTTGTAGTTGCCGGGCGCTCCAAGAATGTGGGCATGCCCATTGCCATGTTGCTGCACACAGACGGACAACATGAGAGGCCTGGAGGTCAGTTGCACATCATTTGTCTGGATTTCTAAATGTTTACAATTCATAACATGTAAAAGTCCTCACACACTTTCACTTTTTCCACATTTGGTCACAGTTTTAGAGATTACAATGTATTTGACTGGGATTTGATGTGATTAACAAGCAGTGAACAAAGTGTGATTGACGTTTTTCAGCGTTGTGATCAAACTTTAGGCTCTGCAGATATTTTAACACCCAGTCTCTCTTCTGAACTGCTGCAGGCGATGCCACAGTCACCATTTCTCATCGTTACACTCCAAAGGAACAGCTTTGCCAGCACACTAAAATAGCCGATATTGTTGTGGCTGCTGCAGGTTTGTCGCTGTTTTACGTCCCAAATCTTCCTGTTATCTTGATTTGCATGTCGCGTCTAATGGCTCTCAACACGGTTTTTAGGAATTCCCAACCTGATCACAGCGGACATGATCAAAGAGGGAGCTGCTGTAATTGACGTTGGCATAAACAGAGTGCAGGACCCTGTCACTGGAAAGAGCAGGCTGGTTGGAGATGTGGATTTTGAAGGTATGGGGGATGAACTTTGATTGGATTTCTGCATGAACTCACCCCTCCTGTGTCTTTGTAATTAATTTTTTCTGCCCACTTTCAGCTGTGAAGAAGAAGGCTGGGTTCATCACCCCTGTTCCCGGAGGCGTTGGTCCCATGACCGTGGCTATGCTCATGAAGAACACAGTCAAAGCTGCTAAAAGTGTCCTGCAGTTTCCCCCAGAGAGGATCCGTGTGGCAGCTGCATCCTAATGGTGCCACACAGTAAACCTGAGCAACATGGACACATTCCTCCCAGCTCCACCCTCTTGATTTCGTACTTGGAGCGACGCAGTGAGCTCCACGTTGCACACAGACTGGAAAGATGACCGCTCTGAGGCTTTTCTTACTACGTGTCAAGTCCAACCATTTGCAGCCTGCTACACTAACTCATGCAGCTAGCTGCACATGCTTTGTAACAGTATTTATAATTTTTAAATGTACGTCTTTGATGGTTTTAAAGAGCTGTTTCTATTTATTGCGAAAGACTATTTTACACATGAATGCAGACTTGTGGCAGTGTATGATTCTAAGCAGGTGAGCGGTGAAGGAGTGTTTTAGTTTAGCCTCATGTAAGTGTCTCAAGGGCTATCAGGAACAAGATTGTTTGTTAAAATACGAGCTTTAAAGATTCACCATTGCCTTGCAAAAAAACCTATGGAATAAATGTTGCATTTTTCTTCTCACATTGCTTTTGGTTGAAAAATATTTAAGACTGGGGGAACTTTATTAAATAGTAAATGGGACCTGAAATGCTGAACTCACTTGAGACAGAATATCAAACTATGCATCACATCTGGAAATGAGTAAAGTATTCACACTTCACAATTTTTTTTTTTTTTTTTTATGTTTAAAGATGAAATTGACTGGGTTTGACATTATTGACCAGCACAAAATGTTGAAAATAAATGTTACACTTTTATATAAAAACATCAGCACAGGTTATAGACAAAGTTGCAGAGAAATTTAAAGATGTGAAAAGTGAACAAGTTTAGGAAATCTGGGTATTTTTTTTTTCAATCAATCCTTTGAAAATAAATAGTCACACATGGATCAGAGAAGTAGCCAAAAGGCAAATGGCATCTCTGGAGGAGCTGCAAAGATCCCTGCCTCAGGTGGGAGAATCTGTTGACAGGACAACAGTTAGTCCAGTATTACACAAACCAGGCCTTGATGTAAAAGTGACAAGAGGAAAGTTCCAAGAAATCTCATTTACCTCAGGAAACAAGAAGACCAGAGTGATCAGATGACACAAACAGCTTCTCCAGCCCCAGTAAAAATACAACCAGTGGTTATAAATGAAAAGGTATGACTGGCACAAATATGTACACAACCGATTTTCAGGAATATATGAAATACTCTTAAGAATTTTGTCTTTAATAATAAAATCTGCTTCCTTAGTTCATTGTTTGAAGCTTATTGTCACTAAAATAAACACAATTTGAGACTATTAGCGCCTCCAGGCTTGATAATTGAAATAGATGTGCCATGTTACACGCGAACACAAACATATTAGGGTTACACCGTAAGTACTTTGCGCTGCAAAGACAATTTTAAAAATTATATAGATTATCAAGTATTCTTAATTGAATTTAATTCATTTAGGCACGTCTTTGAGCTTTTTTGGAGGTTTTTGGACATTTAAGTAGGAACTAGGAACGTTTCTCGTGCCATGACGCTGAATTGACAGACGGACAAACTTCCGGACGTTTCCTGTAACTCAGCCGTTGTAAACAACTTGTGTTTCCGAAATGAATCGCAGCATGTCGTCTGTCCGAGTTACTCGGGAGAAAAAAACGGAGAAAAAGAAACGCAGACGGTCTTCGTCTTCTTCCTCCTCCTCCTCCTCCAGCAGGAGCAGGTCGGCTAAGAAAATTTCTTCCACGAAGAAGAAGTTGACAGGTTGGGACTGCTTTGTTCACTAGAAACCTACCAGAGCGGCTTATGAAGCATCTTGAACATGTGTTTGTCTTCAGATGGGAAAGAGCAACCAAAGAGGCGGAGGACGCGATCCTCATCTTCATCATCCACTTCCTCCTCCTCTTCCTCCTCCTCCTCTTCATCCTCCTCGAGTGACGAGAGGAGAAAGAGGAAGAAGAGCAAAGCCAAGAAGAAGAAACTGAAGAAGCAGAAGGCCAAGCTGAAGAAACAGAGGAAAAAGGAGAAAAAGAAGTTGAAGAAGAAGGAGAAGAAGCTGAAAATGGAGGTGGAGGCGATGCAGAGACCTCCAGAGAAACCTCCATCCTACCTGGAGGTGATGCAGCATGAAGAAGAGGAGGAGGTGGAGCTGGGGCCAGGTGAGACTTCACACTGTGGAGGGTAGAGAAATATTTGTACCTTTTACCTATTTGGGGAGATCAGTATGAACATTTCTGAACAAATAACACAATTTAAGACGGCGTTCTCAATCTGTTTGCTGTTTTCTGCCTGGCTTCACACTTTTCTCCAACCTGAGCTCCGTGGAGCTGAGTTTTTTGATCAGTTTAAACGTTTCTGGGTTTCCTCAGTCATGACCGACGAGCAGAAGGCCCGGCTCGCCACGAAGAGGCCTCTCACCAAGGAGGAGTATGAGGCCAGGCAGAGCGTGATCCGCAGGGTGGTGGACCCAGAAACAGGAAGAACCAGGTCTGACAAAAAATCAACTCTTACGCAACACTCGCAAGACAAAACGTTCCTGATTTTCAGATGTTTTATCTTCATCCATCTAGGTTGGTGAGAGGAGAAGGAGAGATCATTGAGGAGATAGTGACCCGAGAGAAACACAAAGACATCAACAAGGTAAACAGAATGTCATCAGTTTTAGGTGAAAGACACACAGTCGCTGTTAGCTGATGACAAAAAAATCTCTGCTTTGTTTCTTAGCAAGCTACAATGGGAGATGGGAATGCCTTCCAGAAAAAACTGGGAATGAACAGGTAGAAGAAGAACCTCCAGAAGAAAACACAGACTGTTTACTTGCTGCTCGTTTCTAAGTCATTCTGATTCTTTTGAATGTGTTGTAGAGATTTTCATTGTTTGGGTTTAGGTTGCAGGCAGTTTTCTTCATGTTATAAAAACCTGAAAGCATAATTTTATAAGTTCTAACTAATATGAAACACAACAAATCACATTCAAATATGTTACTGTACACCCATTTTACATACATATTTGTTTGATATAATGTATTTTGTTTTTTGGATTTGGACCATTTTCTCAATTTTTGTATTTGTTTTTTGTTTTGTTTTGTCAAAGGATCCTGAAACTTATATTTTTGAACTGTTCTGAGTCTCATGTATTCAAGTTTTCTGCCTTGGACATTTTTTGCTCAACCTTTTATCAAATCACCTTTTTTGAGGCCATTAAATTCTGCTCTGGGGATTATTTAGGATCTATTTTGGAAAATAAAGTTTGATTTTTTTCGAGGCATCATTCTTGAAGGCAAAAAATGTAAACTTGCAATTTCCTAAAAAATGTCTGGCAACTTGAAAGCAGAGCCTGCACACAGCGCAGACGCTGTAAAATAGCATGAAAAATGCCTTTTAAATGTAATAATTATTTTATGGTATATTGTGATTATATCAACACACAAACTTTTGCCTGTGTTGAGGTCAGTGTCATCCCAAAAGATTATCGTTATCCCACCTTATCCATATCCGTATTACTTGCTGGAAGATACTGGGACAGCAGTGTGACTCTTTAAAGGAAGTCCAGTTTAACATCAACATGGATTCGGTGGATTGTGAACATGCAGCCATTAACCCGACAAGATAGACACCTTCTGGAATCACATTTTAAAATTGTACTAAGAGTTGAACATGGTGGTGGTATCATCATGCCGAGGGTCTGCTTCACTGCCTCTGGTCCTGGTGTGTCTTATAAAGTTTAAGGAGCAATTAGGAAGGACGACTACTTCAAAATAATCGGAAGGATGATGCATCTGTCGGGCTCTGAGGAGGTGACCTTTATTGAAACTCCCTAAAACAGAAATATTTTCTGTGGTTCAGCACAATACCTGGAATGGATGAAAATGAGTTACAACAGCCCAGAATGGATGAAATAATAACATCGAAGGAATAAAATAACCACTGGTCAAAAAGGATTGCTCTTTCACAGCTTACAGCTCAAAACAGTTCCAGAGTTTTTCCACATTACAAGTTGCTCCAATTCAATCAAGAGATAAAACTAGTTTGTTGCAAAAGACACAAGTTAGAAGAAGAAATTAGTCTGCACCGAGCGCGCTTCATTTGACACATTTCTGTCTGATATTTTAAATAGAAAAAAAGGCCACCATTTGTCAGTGCTTTATATGTTCTTTATACACTCTTCATAAAATCACAAGGGAATGAATAGCATCAAATAGAATCCTACAAGATATGTGACCTGTACAATTCTTACATTTGCCAGTTTATAAATAAAATATACAGTTTAACTGTTGGACTGAGCCAGGTCAAAGGTAAAGACAGATTTTCTAAAAATGAATAAATATGTCACATTAGGTAGTTTTAAGTGGTTCATCTTTAAGGATTGGTGTCCTGCATGATTTACATGTTCCGCTGATTCAACCAGAGATGATTTTTAATGAACAGTTGCCCATGGCGGAATAAGAAAAAGTGGCTCAAGTACCAGAGTAAACTACAGAACAGCATTTTATCCTGTGCCTGAGGCAGCCGTCTATGAAGCTAACAAACATGTCATTCATCTCAGATCAACTGTGTTGAACCAGGGGCACTTCTAAGAGATGCAGGACACTCACACAGCTGGACACCCTGAATTATCATCCACATGCTTTGGAAAAATAACGTCTTCATAGGTTTCAGCATGAACACCCTCCTTTCTGGGGCTAAAACCATCAGAACCATCAAAAAAGAAAAAAAAAAACAAGGGGGGGCAAGCAGGGTTCAGGTAGTCAGTCTGCCCACAGGTATAAAAACATCCCTGATCTCTGCAGCACTTCCCCGGTACATTGTCTTCATAATGGCATTTCATCAGAGAAAACAACACGGCTGATCTTACTCATCTCTAGGGAAGCTTGTCGGCTGTGTTGGATTATTTGTCACAAAAAGATCCAAATAAGAGGATTAAACTGGGCAATCGTTTCACTTTTCAGTATAATTTCAATCTAGATGAACCTGGATCGAATCACAGACGTTTCATTAAACTACACCGCACTCTGCTGTGCTGACTGCAAAAATAGATGCCTCTGTGCTTGAATGACCAAAATCACAACAAAAACCACCCAACTGTATCCCTAGAAAGAATCCCACCGTAACATTTGACACGTTTATCAGGCCAGAGCCACTTTATTGTGAGAAGTCTCCACACTGTAAAATGTGCAACCTGTGCATTTCTGGCAGCGTGTTCACCTGGTGTGGGAAACCGTCTGCAGGTTGACGTCTGTAAAATATGTGCCGGGTGGAGGTCAGGGGGGGTTGACTGATTGTCAGTGCACTGTGATGTCTGTTTGATCCAGTGGTGCTTTAGAGCAGTATTGCAAACTTTCCCTTACATTTGAGTCAACATTGGTCCACTGCACTCTGCTCTGAACCTGCCTGTTACACTGAGCCCCACACTTATTGCAGCCCCTGGTAGAGAGGCGTAACGCTTTAATATTATCACCCCAATCTAACCTTTCATTTGAACACGTTCATTCATCGATGATGGAAAAAAAAATCCTATCTTGAGAAATATTGATGTTTATACACTCATTGGTATTCAGCAAGCGAAGCAAAAGGAAGTTGTATTTTAACAAACAGAACAGAACCGCTCATAACGTTTTAGCAGATCACTGCATACTAAGAGTTTGGATGAGGGTTTTCCTGGCAGAGATGTGGGCAATATTCAGATTCTTTGATGAATGGGATGTTCTCTTGTTTTTCCCATTCTGTAAAGCAGATAAAGGAATTAGGCCTCAGTGTGAGATCTCCAACAACCCTGATCATCTCACAAACTACCATTACCAATTTCATTAGGAATTGTTATAGGTGCAAATAGTTGAAGGGGCAATAAATCAATTTTATTGATTAGTAGAATTTTTGGATTTTGACAATTTAATTTGAGGAAAATCTGGATTTTTCTTCCCCCCCCACCAATAAACTCCTTGGGTTTTGATAGCTGGAATGATGTCAGCCCAAAGAAAGCTACCATCTGGTTTGACTGGCGTGTTTTACAGCTCCTAATTATTGGGACTTTTTAATTCAGGTTAACTCACAGAACAGATGGTTGAAATAAACGGCAGTTTTGAAAATACTTCTTGTCATTTGTAAATGAAAAAGTGAGAAAAAAAAAGATTCAAAATTGGAAATTGAATTTGGAGTGAAAAGAATCTGACGTTTTGTTTTTAAATAAACATTACTTAACATGAGATCTTCCCCAGCCCTGATAAAACACTGAATAAATGCACTAAAAGTACAGGTTGGAATTTTCTCATTTTTCAAGTGTCAAATTTTACTTCTGCAAGAAACAAGTTTATTGTTATAAGTTTGGTTTCCTCCTTACACGTCTTTTCCAAAGGCGCCAATAAGTGTGGAGATAAATCAAGAAGGACAAGTAATTATATTTCAAATAAAAAAAAGGCATGAAAATGTACTAAACTTTAGAAATAAATATCAAACATCATAGAGCAGGTCTCGGCTCCGCATTTCTAGTTTCCACAACGTATCGTACAGAATTTACATCTGGAGCTCTGTCTTCCTCTAACGGTGCATCAGAGAACAGAGAGGGAGTCGGCAACGCAGGGAGGGACATTTAAGAGCACATTCAATGCTTCATTTACAGCTCAGTAAAAACCAGGGAGGGAGAAAAACAGCAGAAATCCAAAATGGCCAAACATGGCTAATATCAAACATCCCATGTATGACACAAGATATCAGTTCTGATCCAACCCTGGCGATCTGCAAGGTGAAATAATAAAAATACAATACTGTGCTGCTGAAACTCAATTTTGAAGAACTAAAATACATAGCAAAAACTTCACCTCAAAACACCTTTTTGTTCACAAAAAAAAAAAAAATCAATGTATTTTAACATGGCTATATTAGTAAATAGCACTGATTATCAATCATGTCACCCTCATTGGAAAGAAGACACTTTAAACTGGTCTTCAGTGGACCAGATACCAGATCTGCACTGTGATGTAACAACTATGTACAGGCCTCATTCAGGCGCTTAACAACATACTTACATAATTTATTCCATGTTTCTATACACAGAAGACCTTTATGTGATCCTCTCTGCTCAGATACAGCATATTGTTCTACGCTGCTTATTTTGGCACCTTTGCTGTACAGTAGAGGTCAAACATCAGGTGCAGTAGAAATCCAGGGTTAATCATATTTAAAGGGTCAGTTCAGAGTTTGCTCTGCAGGATTCTTTGAGTTGTGGTGTGAGGAAAACTGGAGTGTACAACGTTTTAGTCTGGGCTGTTCCAGGCGTTTGCTTAAATAATTTCTGTTTGGCTAAGATTCATTTTCATTAATTCTTGGTAAATAAGTAACACTTCTTTATGAAAGCGCTCAGTCCAGTGTTAATCAGAATAAAAGGGCTGATGCTTAAAATGTGCAGCACAGAAAGTGAGTCTCTCGCCGTTTCTGTGCTTGCTTTGGCCGCGTCTGTCAGCTACAGAGCAGAATCAGAGTAACTCCCTTATGGCGTGGAGGTGCTTCATTGTGTGTAGTCAAGTATAACAGCCTACAGAAGGAGTGCTTATATTCATGACCAAAAAATATTCACTCAACTGAAGAAACCATTTAAATTAATTTATGTTTGTGTAACATGTCGCTTCAGGAGGATTTGCCTGCTTTAAAACAATAACAACAAAACTCCCACAGTCTCCACTAAAATCATTTCAGTGGTCAGCATCACCAGATGCCCCCTCGGTGGCGTTTCACCCACTTGGTTCAAACCCGCAGCGTTTCTGTCTCTGCGCTCGTCCTCCCAGCGCCTGTACTCTCATTTGGGGTTGAACGGGAACGGCTCCAGCTTGGTGCTGCCGCTGCGGCCCCAGCAGCTCGCCGTGATGCTCATGCTGCGCTGCGTGGCCGCCGGGCCGTGGCTGTGGGTCCGCTCCAGCCGCTCCCGCTCCAGCCGCTCGCTGTCCGACTGGCTCTGCGTGCGCTCGGGCCGGTTGTGGAAGTTGCCCGTCGGGGAGCTGGGGGCCGGCTGGGAGGAGATGGTGCGCAGCAGGTGGTTCCTTTTCCTCAGGAAGTCGCTGTTGGCGCCCAGGCCGAAGCTTCCCTTACGCAGGACCATGCGCGCGCTGCTGGACTTGGCGGGCCGAGAGCGGTGGTTGTACTCCAGCTGGGACAGGTGGGCTGCGTAGCCCTCTGTGATGAACTGAAGAGGAGAGAAAGATTTGAGCTGCAGGAAAAGTTAACTGAATAAATCTGGCTTTTTAATTTGAACTTTTGCGACTTTTTATGCAATGTTAGAAATACAGTAAAAGATGTAAAAGAACAAATAATTCAACGGCTTTTTTAAAATAAGAAAATCAACATTTCATTGTCTAAAATGCAATAATAAAGTATTTCTTTAGTGTGGGACTGAATGATGACTGGATGGCAAAAGGTGCTAAACGGGAGATGATTATTTTTATATTATTATAGAAATTGAACCAGGTGATGGTAAAACTACACCACCTGAGGAGATTTGGAAAGAGCATACTTGCAGACAAAGGTTTTGCTTTTACCCTAAATGTAAATGTTTATATATTATTTGTTCAGTTTTGGCTTAATTACTGCTTTTAGTGAGTTGTTCTTTTAGGAAACTTTTTTTTTTGAGTCTGATACAGTAGGTAAAGATTCATCAATCTCTACATTAGTAGAGACTGATTAGAAAATAATCAGTTATTTCAACAACTGATTAATCACATTTAATCCAATTAATTGCTTCAGCCCTAATTGGTTGCAGGAGGTGTCTGTTTCAAGAGCCTCTGAGCGGTACCTGGCACTGGTTCTGCATCTTCTTCGAGGGTCTGCCGACGATGTAGATCTGAGAAGGAGGGATGCCGATGGAGGTGTAGACAGAGATGTCTTTGGTTGATCCATATCCAGCAAAGATCTTCATGTTAGACTGAAATCAGCCCACAGGGAGGAGAGAAATTATTTCCTTTGTAAATAAAAAAAAAACATAGTCTGAAGGTCCTCAACACATTTGTCTGCACCTGTTGATAACCTGAAGTACGTTCGCTTACCTCTGTCAGTGTTTTGAGGAAGTTGGCCTTGTGCCTGAGCGGGTCGTGGACTAATCCGTCGCAGAAGGAGACGATGCCATGGGGGAAGTTGTGCTGAGACAGCCAGGCCACCACCCGCTGCTTCTGCATGTCTGGACGCCCCGTCACGTAGATGATCAGATAACCTAAATCCTGCCAGTGTCTGTGACGCGGTGAAGCAGCAGAGGACACAAAAGGATGTTTTTTTGTTTTGTTTTTATTTAAGTGATATCTTGGAGCTACAGAAAGGTCGACGGGATGACTCGGATACCTGACGACGTCCACTGCTCCTGCCCTGACCTTGGGATCGCTACCCATGATTGAGACGCTGGCGGCGAACGACCCGTCGATGCTGAACACCACGAACTCTGTGCCACGTGGAACAACAGTCAGGTAGCTGTCTGCAAACGTGTGGTCGCCTCTGGGGAGGAAAAGCCAGAAGAGAATAAAAACTAAACCAAAGGACAGGATTATATCTAAAGATTCACAACAACAAGATGCACAGAAGGCAGGAATATTTCAATAAATCATGACACAGAGTCAGTTTGGTGTTTAAGGGCTGAGAAGATGAAGTCACCTGACAACCATTTTTACAGGGAAGACTCCGATGCCCAGTCGCTTCTCCTCTGGGACGTTAAACGACACGCGGCCACTGCTTTGAGTCACTTGTGTGCTGAAGTACACCCACTCTCCTGACGGAGGCTGGGTCATGATGTGAAGGTCGACCTGTGCAAGAATTCAAGACTCAAACATGATGTTTGGAAACTAAAAGGTTTCAGACAGCCGGCTCTCTGCTGCCATGCATGCATGATTACCTTCTCCCCAGCTAGAGTCACCATGTCCAGAGGGCCGTACATGAAACGACCTGCGATGACCTGCTGGCTGTCTTCAGGGAACACGGCGTCGTTCACTCGGTGGTTGGCAGTCACGTTCTGCCATTGGAGTTAAAATAAACCAAGTTAGAGAGTGTTTTTTTTTTTTTTTTTTTTTTAAAAACAAGGATAAAAAGAATGTCTTTTTTTTTTTTTTTTTTTAGAAATTTACAAAGAAAAGTCAAAGTCAAGTGACCTACAGCTGCATGCAAAATGTACACTTTCAGTGCTAAATTCAATGTATTTTCTTGGTATTTTCAGTAAATACTGTGAATTTTTCTGGGGTGGAGTTTGAGGAATGTGAATATTTTTTCCTACATCTGAATCCAAGATTGTGATAATGAACTGAAAGCACTCCTCTGCAGCAGATGAATGTTCCTAAGCTGTCTCAAACTGGCCTGTTTTCTTGATTTCACACCCACCCGGATTTTGACGTGAGTCCTTTTCCGGAGCCACTTCTCCCGAGGCTTAGAGGGGGTAAACTCCGACACTTCCTTCCCATCCAGCTCCAGAATGCTGGAGTTTTCATGCCTCATGACCTAAGAGCAGAGATTTAATCGGTTCATCCCTGAAAACAGTAGCTTTTCGTTAAACAACAGGGTAAAAAAAAATATGGTTGGGGCAACTCACCTGCCTCAGGAGGAAAGATACAACATCTGTGGATTCCCAGTAAGATGCGTGGAAGAGGTGCGGCAAAGCCACTGTGGGAAAGGCAGTCAGAGCATCGGGGCAGTACAGAGCAAAGTCCAGGCGCTTTGTGCCCCACCAGCGTGCTGCAACTGCAAATGGGAACGAGTTGAATAGAGTGCAGGTCCACAAGATGAAACTCTAGCAGAACGTGCCGGCATAGGAAGGTGCACCACCGTTAAAACCCACAAGACAAACTTCCCAAAAAAATAAATTAATTAATTGATTTAAAAAAAATCTGCTTCACTTCTTCAGCTGCAGGTGAGAAAGAAAGGTGTTTGTGATTATTGCAGTAAGAAATCATGCGCTGCATCAAAACGGAAAGAGACGGTTAGAACTGATGAGTAATTTCATGACCAGCTCCAAGAGTTTAATCATGTTAGTGACGGCTGTTATACCGAAGTGCAAAATTAAGATCTCAACATTGTTCCCACTGAGTGAAAGTGCTTGTTGCTGTGTCCTTGAGAAGCCCATTTAGAAAGAATCCCAGGAGAAAGGAAACCAAAAAATAAAAGGCTTTCTGCAGGAGCAGAATGAAGCTTTTGGATAATTGCTATGATTTTCCCAACTTTAGAAAAAAATACCTTCATCAACTTCAGCTTGGGAGTCCAGGGACACCAGGTCACCTATAGCACAGTCCAGCCTGTCTGATTGGATGCTGTCGTACTGGTAGATGGAACTTAGACTTTCGCCTGAGTCTGACTCAACATCCGTGTGAAAACTCAAGTCTTCATCAGTCAGGTCACCATCGGCCTTTTTATAGGACTTCAGAGGATTTTTTATGGAGAATAAGTTTTGGGATGTTAGGGCAAGTTGGGAGAACAGACTGAGCTTATTGGATTGGCTAATCTGCTCTGATTTAGCTACACAGGGGAAAAAAAAAACAACAGAAAACCATGTGATAAAATGGATGCATATATATATATATATATATATATATATATATATATATATATATATATATATATATATATATATATATATATATATATATATATATATATATATATATATATATAAAACAGAAAAAACAGTTTAAAGCGTGACAAAGAGATGCATTCAGTAGAAAGAGGCTCAATTTCTAAGCAGCTGTTAATAAAAGTTAAAGCTTCATGGCAAATTAATGCTGTTGTGGCAAAATTAGCTCTTTTAAATTGTTCAAAATGTGCACCAAACTCATCTTAGGTTATAATGTGAGACAAAAAAAGGTAAAAAGATTAACAGGTAAATAGGAGTGAACTTTGGTTAACAATAATACAAAGAGAAAACAGAATGCTGATTGTCTCAGCACACACTGCAGTAGGAGGTGGAAATGGCTTAGGGAGGGAGATTGGTGTCCACATGCACTGAAACATTAGATAAATGCAGTACTTGGTCATTGCATTTACATTTAGACAGTGGATAAAACTAAGACAGACAGTGAAAAGTGGCACAAAGCTTGCTCTTCTGGAGGACTCTGATCTTACTGGCTCTTTGTCAGAGAATATAGGGGAAACGGTTCAATAACTGTCTTACCAGATGAGTCAGAAAGAAGTGCAGGATTTATGTTTACAGTTCCTTGCAAAATGTAAAATTACCCTGTAAACATTTTGTCCCGTTACAACACAAACATTGTGTCTAATTGGGATTATGTGTGACAGACCATAAAAAAAAGTAGTGCAAAGTTGCAAAGACGAGTTTGTTGGTTTGGATGGAGGGTACCAGGGAACAATCGCTGTTCAGTCTGGCTCTTCATTCTCAATTATTCATTTAACAAATGGTGCAGAAAATAATGAAAATATTCCTGACAACATGGAGAATTTTGTTGTTTTAAAACATCATTAAATGAAATTCATTGTGACATGCGCTGAATCCGCACCTCCACTTTATGTTATTTAAAATTCTGAACTACTTTGTTTCTATTGCATAAAATCCCAGCAAGACACAGCAAAGTTTGTGTTTGGAAGGAGAACAAGATGTGAGAAAATTCAAAAAGTACAAATACTTTTGCAAGAAGCTGCATCTGACCAACTAAGTTAGCTCCAGATGGAGTGTAGGGTGTGTGTAGAGTCAGAGTACCAGGGTTGAGAGGAGGAGGATGTAGGAGAGCTGGAAGGAGAAACTAGTTGTCCAGAAATAGAGAAAAGTTGGCCTGAGAGCGAGAGAGAAGGGGTGGAACTAACTGGAGTCGTGTTTGTGTGAGTGGAAGAAAGAGAGAGAAAGAGAGACTGGTGGATGTTCAGAACACTTACTGTTGGCTATGTTGGTGGCAGTGAAACTGTCTGCCATTCCTGAGACCTGGCTGGCAATGCTGATCTCACTGGCCCTCCGCTGGCCCCTGGAGAAGGGGCCCATTATGGGGGATGAGGGGTACGAACTGTCCATGAAGACACCACCATGAGACTGAACAACATCCGCTATTGAGCCCAAACAAGGAGATCCCATTAGACAGAGACACAGGTAAGGTGGGTAACCTCACAGTGATGGGGAAGGAGGCAAAACATGTGACTGCTGGGGGAAATGTGGAACCACAAGGAACCCGCATGCTGGCCGGGGTTCTCCAGCTGACTCACATGTGAATACACAGACAGTAAAATGCCTACATATGTTACAATTAATGTCAGGGTGTAAGATTGTCCGCTAGGAAAGATTTAGATTAAACATTTAGTGAATGACTTGATAAATTATGCTGAGATTTTTATGAAACTAAGACAACCCGTATCACCAATAGAAAACACAAGATAGCATATTAAAGATGTAGATACAGAGCTTCATGTTGAGCAAACACAGCACCACAAGCAGCACAGCGAGCATGATCGACTGTCGTGAAAGTCGACAAATAAATCAACCTCTAAACACAAAAAAACATTAAGAAACTCCAAATCACAGAGCTTGGCTTTAACAGCACAACACAAACGCTTACACCCTCCAAACACACCACAGCAGACGCTCTGTAGACAAACATGAATGAGTGTTTCCATGGCTTGATGCAACCACTTATAGGGAGTTTTGTTTGAAATAAAGAGAAACTCATTTCAAGCTACATGACCTGTACACAGTTAACATATTATTTCAGAGCTTTTGAAGATTCCCTTCATGTAGGAGAGTTAGGGAAACCGGTGCAACCAGGTAGTCCAGGGCCCTGTTAACGACGAGATCATTAATGTTTCATTAATCATGTGACGCAACGCATGCTATGATTGTGGCATAAGTGGTGACGATAGTCTCTCAGTGGTTGGATGTTGGGCTAACCTGAGACCGAGTCGGGCTTGACGTTTTTGACTGCAGCACTAATACGTGGCTTAATGTTTACTTCTTCTGACCTCGTTCTAACTTTCCCCAAAAGCATTTGGCTTCTCCAGGGGGCCAGTAGAAAAAAATTAGTCAAGTTAAAAGGAGTCCATTTTGAAGCAGGGGAGTCTTTTTCTGTCAGCAGCCTCTGAATCCACAATAATGTTTAATTTAGTTCAATGGTCTTTGAGCATCTTCCAGTTTAGGATGGGCTAGAACCTTGATGGATCCTGATGCTACAAATAATTTCTTTGAACCTGAGGGCCACAGTAAGAACAATAATCCCAAACACACATCAAAACTGACTTTACTCACTTTAAAAGGGGAGGGTTATGTAAAAACGACTTTTTTGTAACAGAAACTCAATTTCAAGTCGCCAAATTGTGAAGTCAAGTTTGATATATATGGTATTTTTATAAACCCAAGGTAATGTAGTTACTTTGGGTTGTTGTAATAATAATGGCAAGATGGCTATAAAATAGTATTTTATAGCCATTTGATTGTGCTATAAAATGGCACTATAAATCACACCCCTTTTACCATCTGGCATGGCTTTGGCAAAATGAAAAAAGTATTAGTATTAAACTGTTAAGAAGAAGATGTTAAACTATGCTAGGATGTAAACAACAGTTGTTCAGTTGCTGGGAGAAAGATCCAGTGTCATTTCTCTTCTGTGTGCACTTATGATGCAGAAGCCTGTCACAATAAGAGCTCCCCGTTTCTTCAACACTGAAACCAATCAGTCAAAATGACCTCTACCCATTTAGGTAAATGCCTGAATTTAGGTAAATTCAGGCAGATATCCAGGCAATTTCTCATTTAAACAAATAGTGTGCTGAGAAAAAACTTAACTACATTTTTGTTTCCGTGTATGTATATATTCAGAATTTTAAAATCCATATTAAATTTAAACCTGTGCACCCAGTAAATGTTTTAAAACTCACTGAAAATGTTGCATGCTCATTCCAGTTTGGAAAAAAAAACAATTGTTAAAGTGTGAGCAGTTACATGAGTCATATCTCATACTCTTGCGACAACAACAATGGAAACATTCAGACGATATCTGAAGCAGACGCAAAATCAAACAGGATTTCAAAGCACATGACAGAAAGACGAAGATGTGAAAAGAGCAAAGCACAAATGCAGGGAGTGAATGAGAGAGGGTGGAGAAAGATGGAGGTGAACAGGAGAGGCTACACACACTCCAAGGTGGCGGGTGTGGCTTTCAGGGAGTTCTCCTGCCAGTTTAGCACAGGAACAGGAATGCAGGTCTCACTGATGGTCTCCTGACAGCGAAAGGACAGGGGGGGCCCGCTATCGAGTAGCAGCTGAGCGTTGCTCTGGACTGTCTCCACTACAGAGGGAGGTGGAGGAGCAGGAGGAAGGGCAGAGGTCAGGGGTGGTGTTAGGAGGGCCGGGTGTGCAGATATGGGAACAGGAGACCGAGAGAGGAGGAAGGAAAGGAGACAGGGAAGACACAAAAACATATGAAGCAAGAACAACTGGACATAAAACAAAAGGCAAGCCCTTAGTGGACCTCACTTCTACACTGCAACTGTTTCACAGCTTGAATGGTCATAATAACCAGTTTTACAACCACACATAAAAAACAAGAAGCTAGATAATGCCAATAATGACTGATAGATAGATACTGATGAAGGTATTACTGCAGCTTATTTTCGCCCAGACATTTGTTTTGCTACAGCCTCATTCCAAAAGTGATTAAATATCAAATATCAGCTGCTAAAAATATTGTAAACACAAGACTTCATAGTTACAAAGTAAAAAAAAAAAGTTTTTCAGCAAATTTTATAAAAATGAAAATTAAAAAATACCTGCACAAGGTTTTACTGCATTCCTCATGACCTTCATGACAAACTGCCTTCACTGATTATGCTTTCATTGAGATTAAGAAGATGGCAGCCAAAACTAGAAGAAACATCTTCAGAGTTGTAATGATCTCATCTTACAATACTCAGGTAATAAAGGGGTGTCTTCAGGGGATCTCTGTGAATATCCTCCAGTGGCTCAGCCAGGACTCAGACTTACAGTAAATCTAATTTAATATGTCTGGAAATAATTTAAATGGCCATCTCCCGACGCTGCTCATCCAGCCTGACAGAGATTGAGAAGATCTGAAGAAATAATGGGCAAAAGTACAAAAAGCTATATCTGAAATCTGATATACACAATTTTTGAGGAGTTATTTTATAAATTTGCAAAAATTGCCATTTTTAAACAAATATTTTGGAGTAAGGCTGTAAGATAAGAAATGTGGAGAGCAGTGAATACTTTCTGATCACTAAGCTCTGGATTTTAGAAATTTTGAAACTTAAGTTTGAGGATAAACACTTCTTTTAGTAACTAGTTGGTTCATTTAAACTAAACATCTACAGCGAAATAGGACTGCTTGTGGTTCTAAGGGTTACTTTATTAAAATGAACGTCCAAAATAGAAATCAAAATCAGGACTATGACCACATTTAGATGAATAACCTGCTTCACAGAAGACAAAAGGAGAAAAATGAAGCATTTTTCTCAGGGACAGTGTACTATGTGAGTGGATGTTGTGCTGCTAAGACGTGTGCTGTGTGCGACGAACAGGACAGCTGCTTACAATCAAAATGTCTCCTTCAAAGGGAGAAATTCAAATAAATCTACTGTATAAAATTCTGCAGTTGTGCTTGTGATGAACCCGACAGGTCTCAATTGTTTCACTTGACAGTTTTAGCCTCCATTCATCACTCCTGCAAGGGACTCACCCAGCAAGGCCGAGTTTCCGTCTCCAAGGGGGAAGCGTTGGTAACGGGGAACGCTAAAAGGAGGGAGGAGGTGAAATTTCCGCTCCAGCAGAGGCTCCAGGCGGGAGGCAGAGGGATCAGCTGGGTGGAACAAGTTATAGACCTGCTGACAGGCCGGCCTCAGCTGGGCCACTAGAGGGGGAAATCCAACCAAAGACATGGGAGGGAAGAGCAGATGAAACCAGACGGGAAGAAAAATTAAAAAGCTGTCCACCAGAGGCATCTTTAATATTAATTTTTATGCCCATGCACATTATTCACTTAAAACTATTACACTCCTCTTAATGAAGAAGCTCACCATCCAGCATAGGGATCACAGTCTTCCTCAGGGCCAGCACCAAGCCCAGCGGAGAACCAAACAGGAAAAAGTCTGACACCTCAAAGTCAAACTTCCCCAGGGAGCATCCGTCCAGCATGGTGCTGCTGCTCGACCTGCGGGACACTGCGTCGCTCTTAAGGACGCTGGAGTGCAAGCTGGAAAAACAAATGAACACAGCTGTTAGTCATTCAGGCACTTGCTGCAACGTTCAAATGCCTTGAATTACTTTCACTTTTTGTCACGTCACTGCCATAAATCTTAGGTCAACACAAAATAAATGCACGATGTGAAGTGGAAGAAAATTATACTTTCTTTTTAACATATAAAAACATCTGAAAGTGTGGAGTGGATTTGTATCAGACTCTAAATATTTCCTGTGTATTTCTTTTGTCTCCTGAGACACTTGCCTCTGAGGTTTGATGAAAAAAAAACATTAGCTAACAAACAGCATCATGAAGACAAAGAAACAAAGTATCCTGTATCCAATTCAGGGCAAACCAAGAAGAAAACCACTTGGAAGCAGATGAATGCTTGAGATCAACATTCCAGCAGGCAACAATAAACTTTCAGTTCGAGCTATAATGGTTATGCTTTGACTAGAATGACTTAGTCAAAGTCCAGAACTAAGTCCAATTGAAAATCTGCGGGAAGACTTTAACAACTTAACAACTGACACTCAAAGATGATCTATGTTGTGTCTGAGTTATTCAGATGTGGAAAGTTGTTAAAAGGACAACATCTGAATGAGTGGCAGCTAGTATTTTCTGCTAGTAAAATCCTGGTAAAATAGGCAAAAGTTTGTGTTTGTAAGGTGGAAAAAATACTAAAATGTTCTAGGTTGTAAAAAGAGTTGAAAAAGCACGCTACTATCACAGCATGTTCAGCAAACCTGGCATTAAGTAAGAACTGAAATGTGTCAGAAGAAACTGGTTCCTCAGGTAAGTGTCACTCACCTGGACAGAAAAGCTTGGTGTTGTTTAATTGTGTCCAGTTCATAGGTGGACGAGTCGCTTCTCTTACGCGGCAGTTGCCTCTTGGTGTCATCGCCTGAACTGACACGAGGAATATCGATGTTACTGCGACTCAGGTGGCGGCTGCTCTCCAGTGTTGGGGACGATGACCCATGTCCGCTGTTGACGATGATGCCGGGAGAGAGAAGGTCCTGGTCCTACATGAGGAGGATTAATCACGACAGAAAGAAAACCTCAACAACTTGCAGATGATAAATATGTCCATAAATGGAGCAGTTAATAAAAAATGTGTTTGATGTGCCTTTAGGAAGTGATCGTCTCCCACCTGCACGCTGATGACGCTGCCTCTGCGGCTGCTGTTCTGGCTCTCATTTACCGTGGGGGTGCTGTTACACAGAGCATCAAACCCCAGTATTCCTCCCACACAGTCCCCAATGAGGCAAACCTGCACAGGTCAAACATCAGACAGAAGGTTCACGTAATATCAAAAAGCAGCAATTATATATTGTGCTGTCTAAAAGTCTTGAGTCATTACATTTTAAAAAAAATGTTCATCTCAGTAATCTTTTAAAGCGGCCTTGATCAATGGACATTAAATGTTTCTGAAGGTTAATCAAGGAATATCTTTGGTCTTTGGCTGCTTTGTGAGTATTTTCTGGTTCAATATCTGATTACTGATTAACTGAAGGATGAGCCAGATTTGTATCTTCTTTTTGGAGACAACTTTCAGATGTCCTTTATCTGCAAAAGTTTTTTGGATGCTTGATGCTTCTTCTTTTATTCTTCTCTTGCATTTATTTTTAAAGCACATGCAGCACAAAAGGATGTGCTGTTCATGTACACTGACTGGATTCAACTAGAGAACTCTAAAAAGTCTGCAAAACTACAAAGCAAGACCAAAAAGCAGAAGCTGCTATGTAACAGTTCAAGACAAAGTCTTGCATAATAGTAGAAGTAGAACTAAAATTAACACATTATTTTCAATTCCTTCAAAAACAAAATAGCTGCAAAAGGTTGGGTGCGTTTGTATTTTCTCCCCTTTACTCTGATACCTCTAAACTTAATGACATGCTCTCAGAACTCACCTAATTTGTAAATAAAGTCCAACTGTGTAAAATTTAATCTTAATATAAAACCATCTGCTCTGTGAAGACCTCAGAGGTTCATTAGAGAACAAACAGCATCATAAAGACTAACACAGCAGATAGTTCAGGGATAAAGTGGCTTCAAAAGACTTGGACCGTGTAAAAAGTTCCCAATTGAGAATCCGTAGAAGTTTGAATTGTTGTTCAGATGCTTACAATCAGATCTGACTAAGATTGTTCCAATTAGTAAAGAAAAGTTGGCAAGGATTTCACTTTCTAGACGTGCAAAGCTGGTAGAGTGTGTCATAGTCTAAAGCACTTGCAGCGGTAATTACAGCAAAAGGTTGAATAAGGGGAAGTGAATACAAAATTTACATGTTAGGTTCAGATCTGTTTTCTTTACTTGTAGACTTTCTAATCCACTCAACAGTAATGTACCACTTTCTATTCGTCTACCACATTGCAATAAAACATGCTAAATGTTTGTGGTTGTAAAGGGTGAAGAGTCTATGAATAACTTTACCATCAAAACTATCAATAAGAACCTGATGACCGGTTCTGAACACCATCTGACCTGGCCAGAGAAGGTTGCTCCATCCTGAGACTTCATAAAGTCAGAATACACCTGGTTGGCGCGAACAATGACAGTGGCCACGGCGTCCTGGTACTGTGGAGACGAGGTGGCCAGCAGAGGCAGAGCTGCGAGCGGGATGTGGTCCTGGCTGCTGGACAGATATCCCTCATCGTAGCTGTAAGGGCTCAGGCTGAAAAAGAGGAAGGAGTAGCCTAAGTAAATAAACCGAGGAAGAGGAGAGGACCTGAGTCATAAGCTGAAAAACAGCCGTCGTAGCCAATGACAACAAACCCTCGGTCAAAACACTGCCTGGAGCCTGCAGATATAAACGTGTGCAAGTGTTTTCTCTTACTGAGAGACCAGAGAGAAGGCCTCGGCACAGATGGCGGGGCAGGGCACCAAGCGGATGGCGATGCGTCCGAGCGCGGCGGGGTAGTGAACACGCATGACTGTGTCAAACGCCGTGCTGATGGTGTTGACGTCGGCCTGCTTGCTGTTCTGGTCTCCTCCGCCCGTGTCCAGGATGTTCCCTCCGTGCAGAACCAGAATCAAGACGTGGATTTTGGAAGGCTGCAGACTCTGCTGAGGCGAGCTCTCCTAAGGGACGGCAGCATTGCAATGAAGGTGATGCATGGAGAATGTTTTGGTACTTTGCTTGGTTTATCATCACGACCAAAGACAGACGGTTTTCCCCTTGCTAAAAAAAAACGTCCCTCAGTTATTGTTGATGATATTCTTTGTCAGGCTTTCCAAACATGGACCACAGAGCAGACTTTTGTTCACAACCATAGAGGGGCAGAGGAACATGAGAGGGGGAGACAGAGCAGAGTCACCCTCCACCTGTATGACAACAATCATGCTTCTGGAGGATGTCACAATAAACTGCATGGAGTAATGTGTAGTTTTGTCTTGTGTGTCCGATCCAAAACTTCACATTGTCAAAGAACCACCATAAACGCACACTCAATGCCACAACTGCAAGTACAAGCGAGTTGAACAGAAGGTGTTGGTGTCAAGGGGAACACATGGATCGGGGTTTGGGCAATGGCGACGGAAAAGGGAGGGGCAGTCAGTACTGGGTGGGAGTGGGTGGGCCTTCTTGGGGGACTTACTCTTCCCCAAAGTGCTATGGGGCCAAAATGTTTACTTACTGACTGGTGCCTCGTTACCGTGATGGTGGGGATAGGAGAGCTATCGGCTTGGCCGCTAAGAGAGTCACGCATCTGAACACAAGAGGACAGAAAGGCTCAGGGACAAACGGCCTTTCTCTTATCCTCCAAGTGTCTCTTAAACCCAGCTGAGCTAAAGGTCATTGTTTCTATTTCATTTTGTTTTTAGGCTAAAAATGGACATTAGCAAGTTTGAGTTGTGGGAATTTGTATTTTTTTTCTTTGGTATTGTTATTCAGGAATAGAGCTGGGCCGTATGACTGAAAAAACCCCAACACATTTTACATCAGTCAATATTGATTAGTTTTAAATATCTCAACTGCTGTCAAACTGGTGATATGACATTTCCTGTTTTATTTGCAGTTTCCTCTCAAGCTGTTGTATTCATTTTATCCTTTCACGCCACTCTGTTGTTTTTTTTATTTTTAAGCGGTGAAACCTTAAACTGCTGCTGCGCAAATTACTTAACAGGTTGTTGCTAGGTAACCACAAGTTGTTGCTCGGTATCAAAACAGTGAGTGAGTCAGTTGATGCCACAAACGTTGCTTAGCTGGCTGTGACAGGTTGAGCAGCTAATTTCCACTGCCTACATCCCCCAGAATCCTGTGCGGTTCTGGATGGATGTTCCATGAAATTGTTGGAAATTCTATTAGAAATTTTCTATTAATATTGAAATCTGTCACATATATATTGTTATTCATTTATTGCCCAGCACTATTCAGGAATGCTTAATATTTGACAGGGCAGCATCAGAAGAAGCTGCATTAGTTTCTTAAACATTTCCACACTCACCTCATCCAGTCTGTCCTCGCTCGATGCTCTGTCATAATCGACGCTCATTTCCTTAAAGTTCTCTGAAAACACAGGTTTATACACACAGTTAAGTCCGAGAAGAGTTCCTGTTGGATCTGAAGCTTTGGTCAGTGCTGCTCTTCGTACCAGGATTTTCCTCCGTGTCCACAGTTTCAATCTTGTCCATGAAGTCGTTGGAGTTCCACTTGGCAATTTCTTTTGGAAAAACCTCCTCACCATCCGAGAGATCCTCTGAAGACACAAAAACAGAAAACAGAGTGGGATTAAACAATAATTAGCTGTGTCTCCATGAGGTGCTGTTTTTTTATTTTTATTTCCATTTCTCATTCAGTCACTGCTGTAGCTTTGGACATTTAGTGCCTGGCTTTTTCAGATTCAAAATGGAGCCACTTTGTACGGGACTTTTGTTTGATTTTTAATTTCCTAACATTTTTAAAAAGCTTGGCAACCAACAATTCAAAGAGATTTCTCATATTGCACTGCCAGTATACTAAAAAGACATAGTAACTCATATCTTCCTAAGGATGTTCATTTTGGGTTATATTGGTTGGTCAGAGTCACCCAACTCAAACAGGAATCAGAAATTAATTAGTGGAGGTAAAGTAAAATCAGGACTTTTCAGAAATGAAACAAAATAAATTCAATAATTTGACAGATTAAGGCATTTTTTGACTTTTATGATTTACTTCAGTTTTTCCCAGGTGCTATGCATTAAAATGCTGCCCTCCAATAACATACTCCAGCACTTGGATGTAAACAACTTCCATAGCATAAAACAAAATGCTCAGACAGAGTGGTGAAGAAAGATGAACATAAGAAGTAAAAAGTGGGTTGACTGTAATTTATATATGATCACAATATTTAACAATAACATAACGTCCATGAGGATGAACTGCTTTATTTATGGGTTAAAAAATGTAAATGTGGTTACACATAATGCCAGTGTTTATAAATTTGTTATTACCCCTCAAGTGCATCCCATTTCTTCAAGAAGTTTGACAAGTTTGTTAACTTTTTCTTATTATTTGTACTGAGTATGCAGAACAGTAAAAAAAAACAAAAAAAACAAGACAGAATAAACATCACTTTTAGCCACTTTATTTGAAGCACCACTCACAGTGAGGGTCATGAAGCGTATATAAGGACAAGCATTGTCAAGTGTGAAGTTGTAAATTTGGAGACTCTCTGATGTCAAGTATAAACATTTCCTTTTAAGAGGATATATAATCATTTCCCCCCCAATAAACTGCTATTCTTACAGCACATTCTTAAGGAAGCTGGAAGGTTTCAAATGGCCAAAAGTGTTATTAAATTACATTTATAATTTACTCTATGGGAACATTTCAGTAATGCGCTCCTTTTATAACATATTAAGTTTATAAAAGTGATTTCAAAGATGTTTGTGATGTCATCCTGTCCAGGATCAAACAACATTATGTTTGAGCAGAACACAGAAACTATTGTCATTTTTTACTGAACATATTTAACAAGTATTACGGCCAAGAATGCTAACTAAACGTGATTAATATCAGACGTTCTTGTGCGGAAATTTCTTTCATCATTCTGCACAATAAAAAAGGTTCCTTTCTCAAGTACGCCGCCCTCGACTCACCTTTTAAAATCTTACTTCTAGCAGCTTCTCTGACATTCTTGACATTTAAATAGCAAATGTTAATGAAAATTGCCTCTGCCAAACAACTGAAATTGGCTGCTGAATTTGAAACACAGAGATATTTCACAGCTTTTAGATTATCTGGACTACAACATTAGCTCCGTAACACTTGGACGGAGCTAATGTTTGTGAAATCAGGAATGAGTTGCAATGAATGCAGATTCTTTAAAGCAGCTTGTAATCTTTGATATTTTTACTCTGCTTGTGTCAATTCCAACAGCAGTAGTTTTAATGCTTTGGGTTTTTATTCTAAATACAGACATTTAAAATAGAGAAAATAGAGACCGGTGAATGAGTAAAAGATCCAGTTTCAACTTTAAATGACAGTATTTCTGTATGAATGTAGGAGCAAAAAATGATTGGGGCAGAACTGAGCTCCAGTACACAAAGCAAGGTCCACAAAGAAACAGATGACACTGGGTCCTGTCCTCAACCTGGCAGAAAAAGCTTTGGGATGAACTGAACATGATTCATAACTTTCTGTTTCAGTTTGGATCAAATATATGAGATGAAGCCTTAATTCTTCAAAATGGGGAAAGACAAAAAAAAGCATGCCATCCCTGCAAGACAAACGTGTTTCACAAGTAAGGAAATATTCGCTCACCTAAACTTCCAAATACACTACATTCAGAGCTGTGATAAAAAAGAATTATTCTTAAATAAGTGGAACTTTGCCAAATGAAGCTGGTGGAGCAACCAAGTCGCACAAAGCACAATGAGCAGGATGATAAGAGAAGTAAAATATCTCCAAAGCTTGTTTCTGGAGATCTGCAGCACAAAGTTGCATCTTGGGGGTCACCGAGTCTCCATAGCAACCATTTATTTTAGGACTTAAGCACATTTCTCCAAGAAGAAATAACTGCACATGCTGCTGCAAATGAGAAAACAGTCCCAATTATGCTATAACAGCTAGCATCACAGTTACCACTAACACTAATTGTTGTGAATTTATGACTGAAATGAATGTAGAGAGTAGTCTGAATATATTGTTTTGATTAAAAATAAAAAATAAAAACGTAAGTATTTGATATTAAACATATTTGCTGCATCACTTAATCAGTTACTGGATGCCGGAGAAAAGTCATTGTAGTTGTTGTTTCCCAGTCACAAGCAGAAACAAGTTGAAGTTAGAGTTAGGGCTGCAACCAATGATTATTTTAGTAATCGATAAATCCATCAATTATTATGACAATCAATTAATAATATTTAAAAATTCTGTAGACTTTCATTTAACCACTATTAAAACATTATTGAATTAGTTGATTATTTCATTAACTGATGAACAATGATGAATCTTTCCTGCCCTAGTTTGAATAAATGGAGATTATTGAGTTGGAAAAGTCAGAGTGAAAATAATAAAGCTGTTTCCCATTACATCATCAGGCCAACGATGGTTTCCAAATGGACGCTTACTGCTTGGATGTCTGTGTGCATTTAAAATAGCCGAGTGTTTTGTTGAACTGACATCCAAGTTGGAGATCAGGAGGAAAGATGTGGCCTCAAGTATCCAGCCACTTCTTCCTTCTGGGTTGCATGTTTGCAGCACCACACCCTCCTACTGCAGCTGCAGACCCATGCTGGGTATCTGGGAAGCTTAAAAACTGAGCTGCAGTTTAAGAAGCATGAAAGCAGGAAAAAAAAAAAGAAGCAGTTTAAAGAATGTTTAGCTGAAAATATAATTTACCATGGGCATCAAAGAATTCCTCGTCCGAGCTGTCGTCTGAATCGCGCGCTATGCTCTGCATCCTCCACTCTGAGATGCTGTGACGTGACGGACTCACTGTAAAACCACAAGAGGCAAAATGATCGCTGTTAATTGGGGACATGTGTTTTTTTTTTCAGCCTTTCTCTTTTCTTTCTTAACACATACAGAAATACACTTCAACAAAGCAATGTCGCACAAGCCCACACGCCCCAATCTCAGGCACAAACACAGTGTTACATAAACATGCTGAGAGCCTCTGTGGTGTGCTGCTGCCCTGCAGATGAGATGGGCTGCATGGTGGTCGGGGGTGATGCGAGAAAAGTGAGGCCCAGTGCAGGCGAAACACCCAAAACCAAGGGCGGTGAACACTAAGAGTCGGCCCTGTCTGTCACAAGCCTATAACCGACACCTCATGTATCATTAGAGCAGCGGAGGAGAGGGGGGCACAGCTGTGGCTGTCAGGACAGACAAAGCAGCAGCGAAGGGGGGGCTGGGGGGGGTTTGCGTCTGCCTCCTCAGATCTGTGATGTCAGCACTGCTGCTAAAAATAGCTCCATGGAGGACCACGGGTGGGGATGGCGGTGATGGGGCTCATAAACGAGGCATGCAGGAGTCAGGGAGGAAGACACAGCGAGTGCTACCTTAAAGAAGGGACGGCACATGGGTGTGTTAGGTCACGTGATCTGTGATGTCAGAGGTGATGCTAAAAATAACACGGCTCTGAAGGAGAGAAACTGCTGAGGTTGGACAGTCAGTCAAAGGTGAGGGCGCGGGGGAAACACAGGCTGCTCTTCATCCGACTGTAACACCGCCTATCAAAGCCCAAGCAGCTACACCTGCAATCCAGTTATTCAGTTACATTAAAGTTTCTTTTTAAATGTCGTTTTACTAAACTGCTCACATGGTGAGCAGGTCCAAGGGTTACAGATGCCACAACATGATAAAACAGTTCCCTTAAATATGGAGGGAATCCCTGAAAATAAAATAATCACCAAAAAATATCGTCTTCTTCTTACCATGGGCATCATGGTAAGAAGAAGAACTTATTTCTTCTTACTGAAGAAGATGATAAAACAAAACAAAAAACAAAAAAAACATTTTGGTAAATAATACCATAGATTTTGAGGGTGGATATGATCAACGTACTGTTTCATAACTTCAATCTGAATCTACATGTCTTAATTTTATCAGATCAATTTGACTATATATTATTGAAATATATATAAAATTGACCTATTTATCTTTTATAATGAAGATGACATTGGTTCATTTGTCCTATTTAATTGAATTAAACTAAATTTATTTCAGTCAAAAACATTTAATCTGAATTGAATTGTCAAAAACAAGACAGGACAATAATCCAGTTTTGTCTACCAACCACAGGCAGAAAGTAAATTAGTGAAAGAAAATGTAGAGCATAGTCTGACAGTTTACTGTGAGACTATGCTGCTGTTATAAAAAAATTATATATTTTATGACTTTCTCCACATTCTTGCCCTTGTCAATAATTATAGGAGTTGGAGTACAAGTCAAGCTCAAGAGTGTAAATGTAAGAGCTGACCCTGAAGTAAGTTGTGGGTTTTGAATTATTTCGTATTAAATTATTCATGATATACATTTAGAATGTATATGTATAATGTATATCATAAATTCTTATTTACAGAAATACGTCAGAGCTGTAGAGCATGTTTTAGCAGGTTCACATTTCTGGGCTCCTACTTGATTCAGTCAGTCAGAGAGGAGGCAGCTGCAGCCGTGAAGTAGTTTTTCCACCTGAACGGTGCAGCTGCTTGGTAAATGCAACGCCAAACAGCTCCCATGGGATGGATATGTGAAAAGCAACTAACGCATAAGTGCAGAGCTCCAGAACGTCTCTGGTGTGGAAAGTATTTTTATTTTGCTTATTTCTTTGTTATTTGCAGCCTTTATTTATATAAATATAGGAAATCCAATTCAGGGAAGTCTGTTACTTTTTGTTATTATAAAGGTCAGATATTTTTGCTTTGCTCTATAACCCAATTGTCATCAGATCATAGTTCTTAAAGTGTGTTGGTGTACAGCCAGGATTTCTGCAGGTTTCCCCAACTCAAATGTAAGACTTTTTAACATCATTCAGAATGGAATTTAAAACCTATGTCTCCACAACTTTGTCCAGACATCTGAATTTTCACACATCCACAATAGATACAAAAAACTAGCCAGCTAGCAAGGGTATGATAGCAGTGAGTTAGCGGTAGCCAACATTTTAAGGCCTGAATTTTAGATACATGAATTTAAGACTTTTTAAAACATTTTTAAGGATGTGTTTGCACCCTGACAGCTGTATAAAATCTCCTGAAGCACCATGTAGGTTCTGTAGTTCTAAATCAGTTTTATTGATGAATGTACACAATGACTGTGTCAAGGTCAGGGACGACCAGAGGTGAAGAGCTGTTCACCTCCTCTCTTGGATGAGCGGGAGGATCTGGATGAGGTGGACCACTGCTTGGTGAGGACGCCTCGCGGCTGCAGAGTCTCTACTGATCTGGTGGCCGTTTCCTCTGCCTCGATAGAGCTGATTGCCTCTTTGGCCTCCTGCTCTTTGTCTGGAGACGATGTGGTTCCGTAGGATTCGCTAAGCTCCTCGCCATGGAGAAACTTGGCCATCTTCCTGGCCAGGGCCAGTTGGGTTTCCAGCTCCAGCTGCCTGATGTCGTCCATGGTCAGGCCATACCACTCATCCTGCCAGCACCAGGCCTGCCGGTGGGCATGTACCATAACCTTTCTGAGCCCTAACGGGAAACAACAGGCAGACCAACGTATAAACAGGCTCGCAGACTCATAAAACAGTAATAGAAATCCAAAGCTCTGCTCACCAACATCATGAATGAAGCGTTCAATCTTGGACTGCATGCCCCAGTAGCGAAACTCCACTTTGCAAAGTTTATAGGCACACATGATGGGAGTCTTCCCTGGGTTGTTGTTGTACTCCACTATCCAGTCTTCCTGCAGGGGCCCCCTCTGGGTCTTGGCTGACGTGTAAAGTTTCGGGTCCTCCTCTGAAATGTACTCATGTGGAGGGATGGGCTCTGTCACTATGTCGATTACGTCTGCCAAAGAAAATCGGGTTTCAGGCACCAATAACTGAGGGAGTCAGCTGTTTGGAATGAATGTCACAACGGCTTTACTGTGGTTTTATAATCATGTCATAATGTGCATGGGAAGGCAGGAGCAGAACGTGCAAAAGCCTGTCTTAAAAACTAGCTTGCATTCTTTTCATAGCCAACTTTCAGTCTGACTAGCGGCATCAGTTACATAAGAAGCAGTGACTGACTAAAATCATTACAAATACCATCAGAACTAGGTCACCCTGTGCTCTACAAGTACTTATTTTATTGTAGTGTGATGGGAAGTTTTTTCCAAACGTAAAACTTATGCTGTGTCACTAAAGTGCCACAAGTGGGCTTCATCCACTGCTTAAACAGAAAAACCTTCAGACAAAAAAACCCCAACCAAACTCAGATTAATAATGTTGCACAAACCAGCAAATGTCCGTCTCAAAAAACATAAATGTTTTTAAATGTAAATTCATTTCTATAAATTTGTTGAAAAAGTTAAACTAATCTGCTTCTAGGAATACATTTCAATCAGTCATATCTGTTAAGTTTGATTATTGGGGTGAACCAAAGCTCAGTTTCTGTGAATATTACACAAGGGTTTTTTTTAATAGAAAAATGTTAAATCAGGACCTAGAAAAGGTCCACTCAGACTTATTCCCTGGGAATAAGTCAACGGCTTTAAGTCTGAGTGGAATCGACCTCAGTTCAAGAGTGGTACATAAACTCAATGTACTTAATGTTATGTTTTGGGATGAGAATTACAATGACAGACTCACATCTTCATAAATTGAAAATTTTAGGTATAACAGAAGGTATTTTACTTTTGTTAGCCAAGTTTTTGTGTTTTCTTGTTTTCTTTTTAAAATCATAGTAAGTTGGGTCAAAATATCTGACCCAAAGAGTTAGGAAACCTTTGTTTCACTGAAACATCTGTATGACACACTTTTGTCATTCAATAATTTATTTTCCACTTCCAGATAAAAAGTAAATGTTTCACACTAAAATTATTTAGCATTATTAAATGAAAGAAATAAGAAATGGACCACAGTGCAAAATGTTTGGAGACCATTGGCCTAGAAAATCACAGCAAAGAATGTTGACATGACCGTCAGGATTTACTGTATTATTACCAATACATCCTGACTGGTCTGTATTCAAGAATAATTCATTTAAAGGTGGGTGGAAGGAAAATCTTGAATAGGTTTGACTTTACATCCTCTAAAGTTGTGGTTATCCAAATAAATTGAATGTAATGAAGCTACATGACTGTCTTTTTTGGAATAAAATATTGAAATAACATTAACAAAGTTTCAGATGTACAGGACAGCATTGTGTTATTGAAATGTCAGTGAAAATACAGCATATACATGTTAAGCTTCTCCATCATAAAAAGGTTCTCACCAATAGTTGTTTGCCTCTTGTCTGCTGCGGATAAGTTAAAGACATTTGGTTGGTTGCCTGTGTCAGGCTTATAGTAAGTCTCGATGTCGATGGAGAACTTCTCAACAAACGGACAGGTGTATCTGCAAGACATTATGTGACAAAATGCATCATAGTAGACATGAACTCATTCATGTAGTGCTGAATAACTCAGGATTAGTCAAAGAGTGAGAACACATCGTCAGTGTGAGCTGTCTGAGATCTCTGCAGTAAAACTGTCGCTGGTTAAACAGAAATGTCAGAAAAGACCACAGCAAGTCTTGGGTCAACCTCATATCAGTACCTTCACATATTGGTTCATCAAACATATAAATGGAGCGACGAGCCTCAGGGAATGAGAGGTCATTGTCAGCTTGTAGGACACTGAATCTGATGCTCTTACAACAATAATATTCTGACAGCCTGACATGAGGTTTACATTATTTATATTACTTGGGGCATGACTCTCATGAATCTATGGTTGAAAGCGCACATACCTTGTTCGGGTGTAAGGGTAGGCATTCCACGACTCCTCTTCAACCCTCAGAGCAGCTTTGGGCAGGATGGAGCGGAACCAGCCAGGAATGTGCATGCCTATGTGGTAGACCTTATGGGTGTACTGACCCGCCCCACCTGGTCCATCTGTGTAAGGCTTATTCTCAAGGATCTCCACCCCACTTCCTTCACCGCAGCTCTCTTCTCTGCTCTTTTTCTGCAAGTAAAGCAAAAAAGGGAACTGTAATGACTTATAACAGTGCTTACATTTACGCTTTTTATAAGGACCTGAAAGAGGTGGGCAGGTGGGCAGTCGGGCCAGGCTTTCTTGAATGTAAATTTAAGTCAACTTCAACTTGCTTTTCTCCAGGCCACGTCGAAAAAAGCTTTGAAGGGCCTAGTCAAAGGACCTATGTAGATGATGTACTGAGATTTTAAAAACATATAGAGCACCGGAGTCAAACTCTAGTCCTGGAGGGTCACTGCCTTGCAACTTTTAGATGTGGCTCTGCTGCACCACACCTGAATCGAATAATTAGGTCACTAAGGCTCTGGAGAACTTATTGACACAAGAAGGAGGTAATTAAGGCATTTCATTCCAGTGTTTTGCACCTGTGGCACAAAAACTGCAGGACACCGGCCCTTTAAGACTGGAGTTTGTTGACACCCCTGAGGATATGACCTTGTCCATCACGTTTAGTTCGAGTTTTATCAGAACATGGTGAAATTGTTCTTAAATGAATCATCTTATTTTCTTCATTTTTTTACATTTTATTCTGGTTATTTCCTGTTAATATTTTGTTTCCAGAAATTCATAAAGAGTTGTTAACTGTTTGTTTAATAAGCAACATTTGTTTATATAATATTCTGCAATTTAAAAAATACCTTCAATTATTTTGAAGCAAGACTCAACAAGAAGGTATCAGGGAAAGTGTACCGTTTAAGGCCTTTCACTGCTTTATACTGCAGTGAAAGGCCTTAATTTATCAACCTTTCATTTATCAATCTTTGCATCAATTCTAAATAAATCTCATATCTTGAGAAATGTAGAGAAACTTCATTTATTTTTACAATATGCACAAGAAATAACTTGCTGGAAAGGAAATTTTTACTTTTTCAGAAACATTTTAAAGAAGTAATGAGTGTTTGATTTGTACACATTAAAACAGATAGTGTAGTTTCACTGTGCTACAAGTAGAAACACAAAAATATCTGGGACAACAACCTACATGCTGTATTATTTCATCACAGATGGGCTGAGTCACTTATTACAGTGACTAGTCTGACAACACACTCCACAATTAATAGCTTCCTGAGCGCTATGCATCCTCTGAATTGCAAATGAGGAAGCCTAAAAGCAAGGGTATGAAACCGCACCTTTCCCATATTTACATTCCAGGTGCAGAGCAGTGGAGCTGGGTGGAGACAGGAGGTGCAGTTGCTCAGAGCTGCAGCTAGGCGAGACAAAGTTTCACAATCAAAGCGGTTCGGAGAAGAACGTGAGGCACGGGCAGAGCAAGGATCGTTGGGAAATCAGTGAAACGGGAAATCTGAACAGCTGAGCAGAGTCCAAGTTCTGATGACAGTAGAGAAGGAAAAAAAAGGCGACTTGGGGATCATAAATGTCAGTGATCCAAAGTCTGCCTCTTTTCTCCAAATCTCCTTGCGAAAGTGGTTCTGTTTTCAGTCCATTTGCTTGATAACAGTGAGGAAGCTTTCTCCGGTTTGCCACTGATTCAGAGGAGCTGCGAGGAGGAAGTCATGAGGCATCCAGCACTCTGGACCTCATTACCTCTGACAGGTCATTCATTAGCCACTCGCCTTGCTCTCAACAGCTCAGATGCAGTTAGAAAGACAAAACACAGACGCCCGGCACTGTTGAACCAGCCATACACAAAGCCACTGCCTGAATCCAAGCCTACTTTATCTGAGCTCAATACCGTAATTACATGCTAGCATATGGACAAAAGATTATAAATATTGATGGGGCTTTAAGCCATAACACAATCTGTGTTTAATATAATTAAAATGGGTTCAATCAGTAGAGAGATCCACATTAATTAAATAAAAGATGCTCCAACCACTGCATTATCGTATTCACATTTATTTTTCTCAAATTTGTTCATCCATATTTAGATTCTTATTTCAAATCAGATCAGTCATGACATGTGATTATAATGTATTAAATCAAGCGCTAATTTTGGTTTTCTCAATTAAGCACCTTCAAAAACAAAACATTTAAAAAAAATAATTACGGTCAAACCTGAGCTGCCTCACTCCTTTCACCTCCAGTGAGGGATGTTGCCTGAAGTTAATAACCAGTCAATATTAAGTTAATTGATCAACAATAGGCAGTTATTTTGTTTGTAGCAAGAAATAAACTGTTTTTCATATGAAATGTACATGGTAAACAAAAAGTTTATTTTACCCCTATAAATTTAACTGCTCATTTTCTTATTCCCTAAATGCATTTTTTCCTAAAAGGAGCATTTTAGAGCCGGAAAACAAAATAAATTACAAAAACCATTTCAATTCTTGCTCAAAGAAGGTGAGTGATTTAAAAGCAAAACTAAAAAGAAAAAGAAAAAGAAAACAAAAACTAGCCATTACAACAAGGCCTTCTGAAACGGATCTTCACTGACACATTTAGATTATAATGTAGTATAACACTACCATATTATCAGGGAAGAAAATACCAAGTTTTAGTGGCCTTATCGACAGGCCACTGGCACCTTTTGACACTGAAAAACAACCTTTAGAATAGAATAGAATAGCATTTTTATTGTCATTGAACAGGATTCAACGAAATTTCTATTGCAACTCCCGTGCAAAAAGTCAAATATATACAATATTAAATAAACAAACACACAATAATAATAATAATATATACAACTAAAATTAACTAAAGGCACTCAACCACAGATGCATAAATATATTACAACAAACAAGTAAAGCACAAAATGTTTATGTCCAGAAAAGTGAGACTTTCTGCTGCTTCCATTCACTGTCTCTTTGTTTTACACAACCACTCCATGGCTCACAAGTATAAAGCAATCAGATAGCTGAGCTGCAGCTATCTGATTGAAATGGCCCAGGTCTATTCACATCAGAGTAGCAAAGCATGTCAGAACAGGAGCAGACTGTATCAGTGCTTTCAACAAAGTGTTATAGACTGATAATCAGGGTTGGTGGTCTGTACAACACACTGCCACGCTTCAGTGACTTTCAGCTGAGTTTTCAACTGGTGCTTGCCTGTTTCATATTTTTTGTACTTTTAGACATTTCTCAATTTTGGACATGAAAGTCAATGTAACTCTGGTGCGACACAAGCCTGAACAGAGAAGACTAGGAAAACCTTATTATTTCATCGGGAACACAATTAAAGTCTCTGTGTGAAAAGATACATTTTGTCAGACACAATCACATGTCTTGGTATGTGATTTGTTTTTCAAAAAGTGACTGAATATACATGACTGCCACCAAAACGCACTATATGTGTTTAAATACCTCTGCAGTGACAGGATGGGAGTCACATCCTGGTTCTTTCTCATCGCTGTCGACTTATTGAGCCATGTTTCCTGTCAGAGTTGCACTGAGCTCCAAAGACAAACAGAAGCTACAAAGTCGAAACCTGAACATTCAGCGCAAACAGATGAGCCACAGTAGAGTGGTCTAATGTTTAATCCTGTCTTGATGCATTTTCTTTGCTCATTACTGCAAATCCCTGCAGAGCAATGAAGAAATGATCGGCTGGCTATCAAATTAGAAAGTGGCAGAAGGGCAACGGCAATAAGTGGAAATGGAGTGGGCGTGCTGAGCGAGGTGCAGACATGGCTAAGATGTCCTAAGGCCCTGTCTTCATCCATGAGGTCTACAGTGGATTGGCGTCAGGCCGGCCTACGTGAGGCTGCTGCCCTGGTAACCTATGACAGCGCAAGACAGGCAAGCGCTCTGCGTTTCTTCTCTCCTTGCATCCCTGTCTTTTTTACTCACCACTTCCTCTTTTCATTCACTCTCTCATGAGCAAAACCTGACCACCGGCATGCTGCTGATGTCACGGTTGCCATGGTGACAGAAGCCTTACAGCAACGAAGCTGTGTGGAGATGGTGAGGTCAGTGAAAAAGGTAACTATGGGTTATCAATGTAACATGGTAAGGCTGCCAGTGGATGCAGTCTGAGAGAAGCTCATCATAAACCTGTTTGCACATCGTTTGTGTCGGGTTGCCCGTAGCGAGCCCGTCTGGGCACAAAGAGGATCAGAACTAAAATGTTTCACAGGATTAATACCTCACAACTACATTCACGCTTTCACAAAAATACTAAGGAATCAAGGGTTAAGTGTTTGAGCTTCCCTCTCATGTTTGTCTGAGTGGAAAGACACTCAAGTGAACTCATGCGAGAGTCTAAATGTTGCTTTGTGTTGACTAAAGGAGGAAGTTAATGTTGATACGCTTGATGCTGCTGTACATTTTCCTTCGCTGAACACTTTGCTGGTTGTTGAGTTTCCTGGCCGTCAATGCCTGATCAAACATGACTGTAGCTGCCATCCATCATGCAAAATACATATTACCTAACCAGGTCAAGAGTGCCAAGACTGCTGTGCCTCTTGTAAAAAACTCAACTCCATGGAGGCATTCAGAGTTTCAGAGATAAATAGAATCCTTTTCTAAATCACAATCTGAGTTACAAACAGGGTCAAATAACATTATTGTTAAATTACCCAAGGCTAAATAAGTATAGTTTCATTTATAAGTAACAGGAAGGAAAAATAAGTTGTTGAGCAGAATAGCTAAAGCTTTCCACAGTAATTTTCCTTTTCCCTTTTCACATTTTGCGATTTTACAACCCCAGACTTCTGTGTCTTTTATTGGGAGTTTATTTGATACACCAACAAAAAGGAGCCCATATTGTGAAATATATCGTTATTCTGCACTTTTACTCAATAGTCTGTCAGCTACCTTTTCCCTGCAATTACTACTTTTAATTTTATGCAACATAAAATTTAGGTCTGGACTTTGATTAGGCCATCCTATCACCTGATCTAAACTGTACTATTGTTGCTCTGGTTGTAAGTTCAGGGTCATCCTCGGTAAACCTTCACTATGGTCTCAAATCTTTTAAAGCCACTCGCAGGTTTTCTACTAGGACTAATCTGCATTTATCTCCATCCACCGAACCGTTAACTCTGACCAACTTTTCTGCATCTCCAAAGCATGATGCTCACGTGACCATGAGCCACCATAGAGCATTTTATCAGAGTGAAGTGGGGTAAATAGAGACGCATATGCATGAAAAATATCTTCCAAGCTTTCTTCCAGAAAACAGATGCACTCTACTTAGAGCTCAATTAGCAGATACAATCTCAATTATTTCTGTGCTTGACAAAATTTTAAAATTTTAGAATTTACGGGGTGTGAATACTTTAGCAAAATGCTGCAACTTTACATTGAAAATCTGGTCATCCATGTCAGTCCTAATCACAGCCATGTCTGGTAGGTAACAGCTCCCTCATGCGCAAACATGCAGCCTATGTCAATTAAAACCAGCCAGTTTAGTTGGTTCAATTGGATGATCTATCAGCCTAAAAGCACTCTTTGTTTTTCTACTCTTTCTGCGCCACACAACTTGTGACCAATCATTCTGTAATCGTGTGAGCTGTTGCAAAATTTCCCCTGCTGGCTTATCTTGTCCTCATTTGCTTCGTTTGGCTCACCATTTCCTTTTTTTCCTACTTTCTCACGTCTGGTGGTTGGTTGGTTGGTGTGAGTGTGTAGGTGAAAATTAGGTGGGCCATGTGTTGTGCTGTTACCTCACCTGAATCATGTAGAGCTGGGCAATGCGGTACTCCTCCACACTCAGGGGCATGGGGATGCGATACTCCTTAATGAGCATGGTGAATCTTGGAGCAGAGGTGGGTAAGAGGGGAATCAGGAAGAAAAGTGATGAGGAAACGGGGAAAGGGGGAGGGAGGGGTAAGGGAAGGGATGGGGAGAGGGAAAAGGAGAGGCTCCGGTTGCTCCTATATGTGACTCGTCAGATCACCGGCTGAAGTCTGCATGGATAGTTCCTGTAGATAGAAGAAAAAACACAAAACATTTCTTAAAGCTAAATTAAAAAAATATATATTGCTTTTCAAAATCAATCGTGTCGATCTGCATCTTAACTTGAAATACATTAAAGAAGAAATCTGCAAACAAGGGAAAAAACATTTCAAAAGTTCACATGGTGAGAAAGAGGAGAGACGAACAGGTATGATTACTGCCTGTTTGTTCCAAAACTTCGCATCGACGGAAAGCTCGAGCATCTGAGGCATCGCATCTCTAAAAACTGGATAAAATCCCATTGTTATACAGCAGCCACTGCCCAGTCCACCCCATCGCTCTGGCATCGTCACATAGGGAACCTCACTCGACAACCGAGATTAGTTTAGTGAGGAACTTTACATAACTTTGCACAACCAAGGTTTCACAAATAGCTCCATCCGAGTTACACAAAGCTTTGTTTTCCAACCACGAGGCAAATAGAGGTAGGTGTGGGCTATACATGTGCAGCATGTGGGTGGCGTGAGTTGCAGAAGTCTGCTTTAACCAGTGCAGAAATACCAACTCTCCTAAGCTAAGTTAGTACAAATAAAGGCCGTATCTTTGCAGAGCCATCACGCACATAAGTTTATCTCAGTGAAGCCTACTTAACGTCAGCCAAGGCAACAGATCAACTGAAGAGGAGTCGATGCAAGAAGAGCAATTCCCATCAGGGGAAGGAACGCTGCGGACCAAATGAATAATGCTCATACAAGGACACACTTTTTTAGCTCATAAAGGTAAAACTACTGGCAGAAAAAAAAACAGGCCAGGCCACAGTCATCTTTTATATTCTCCAACTTAGAAATATAAGTTTGGATTTCATCACAAAGTTATTTCAGCAATTTATCAGAAAATGAAACTCATGCATAGATTCATAATGCAGATTGAAATATTGGAAGCAGGTATTTCTGCTATTTTTGATGAACACAACTAACAAAATCCAAAATTTAGCTCATAAAAAAACAGAATGTAGCATAAAAGTAATCAAAATGGGCTTTTTAACACTGGCATGTTATAGCATGATCAAGAGGACTGCAGAGTCGACATGTGTCAAGACGACACACCAACACTCTTCAAAAGGAGGCAAAGCCTGAAAAAGTCACTTTTACAGAAGCTGGTTGAGTGAGGAGGGCAGCTACCACACAGCAGAGTTTAGGATATGGCACTCTGTGGCATTCATCAGACCAAACCAGTCCTGAACCTGAGACATCAGGAACATCTGGGCTAAAGAGAAAGTGAACTTGGATTTATCTCAGTCCTCTTTTGGACTTTTTATATGGAGATAACTGCCAAAGAGGTGGACTGAAGAGTGGAGACAGACCGAATCCAAGCTGCTCAAGGTTCACATTTTTCATATTATTGCACTAGAAAATATTTTTTTATTGGTCTTATGTAAATATCACACTTTCTTAGAAACTGAATTTGAGGTTTTTGATTAGCTGTGAGATATAAATAATCAAAAGTATGGGAAATATCCTTTAAATACATCACTTTGTTCAAATCCTTGTGTTTTTTAAAGCGGGGGGTGTTATGTCAAATTGTCTTTTTAGAGCTGCAGTATCCAGGCTCAACTCCACCAGACTAGTGGCAGCAGCAATTATCAAACATCTGGTGGACCAGCACATCTCCTGACCTCAGTATACAAAAATATTTCTCAGTCCAACACTCTTAAGAACAGTTGTAAATGGCATCATGGAGGAGCAGCGTTGTGATGATGTGCTGAAGGTGGAATGTTTGGAAAAATAGAAACTTCTTAAACAAACAGAAGCCCATTTCAAAGCATCAAATTGCATTTTTGTGCTATCAAATCCCACTATGTGCATGGGAAATACATAATGCCTTTTCTATAAACTAATTTCTGAAATAAATTGTATTTCATTATTAAGATATACATTACGCATTTTGAGCTCCAGCAGTCACACAAAAGAGCAAAAACTATGACTATGGTATAAATACAAATTAACCAGACTACCAGACATGGTATTGACTACAATGAAAGTTGAAGTCAATACCATGTCACAGCTTACATTTCAGTGGGAAAATTTGACAAACAGGCTTACATAACCACAATCTTAACTAATATCTGACCTATGGCAGCAGCTGGACAAAGCTCTGGAGCTTAGCCATTCGGTATAATCACTCTAATTACACTAATATTCCTGGTGCGTCACTTATCCAGCAAGAATACTGGTGTAACCAATATTCCTGTTCCTCCTCCTATTGACTGATAGCTCCTGAAACACCTCACTGAAAACAGCCTGAGTGAGCTAACAAGCTCATGTACCATAGCAATAAAAGCATGACGATTTCTCCACAGCGATCTGGTTAAAGGAGCATTAACATTTTGTTCTACTGTATGCATTTTTTATGTGGAGACCTCTTTAGTTTACATGCAGGAACAATGCTGCAGGAAAATCGGAGCAGAACGCCACGCTTTGCTGAAAATAACTGCACTCTTGGGAAACACTTGGACAAAACTAGGCTATCTGTAGAGGCCCTGAAGAAAAGCCGGTGGCCTAACAGTCAGAAAGGTCTTCAGAACCAAGCTTGGGAGAAGAAGGTCAACACTTCAGTCTACACACGAAACTTAAAAATGTGTCAACAAATTCTGAGTATTTTTGGTTTCAGCAGCGAGATGAACACATTTGCACATCCCTCATTGGAAATGTCAAACCAAATGCTGCTACTGACGTAATGAGCCAGAGCCTGACCACAGGAAACCCCAGTTCCAGTCAATGACAGCCAGGCGCCTAAAAGGAAGTGACATTAGGAATTTAGAAGAATAAAAATAGGAATAAAAGCAAATTTGGTCTTGATCTGTCCACCAGGAAACATCTGGGGTTCTAGTAAAGTCCACGGATTTAGAGATGCTGAAGCAGTTCAGTGCTTGAGACCTGAACAGAAACAATAAATCCCAAAAAAACAACTTAAAACCATGACATGAGCTTTCTAATAAAACATTTATATGTTTATTATTGGGTGGAAGAAAGTTGAGACAGATGACAAGTCCATCACAGACAACAGAGACACACCAGGACAAACAACCAGACGAACACAGACACACCTGGGAGTGACTTAGAACCATAAAGTGTACGGTGACTGTTGGAGGAAACAGGAGTGCCTGGAAAAAAAAAAAACATATGTGACACGATGAGAACATGCAGACCACACACAGAAAGGCTCCAACCCACAGCTCAGTTTTGTAAACTACTGAAAGCAACAAAATAAGATGGACAAAAAAAAACAAACACATTTCATACAGCTTGTTTATAGCTGTATTTAAACACTTATAGTTTTTTAAGTTTTTTTTACTGGTGCTGTTCAGATTAAAACCATCTTAGGATATAGTTAATTCTCCTCTTTGCACTAAGTTGTCTTTAAACAGGCTTTGCTGTTTCGGATGTGAACCTGTTTGCTTGCCCACTCTTAGTTTGGAGTTTAACACCGATGCTGTGCACAGCACTGGATGTGCGCACAGCACTGGATGTGCGCTGGTCTATCCATCAGCGTCCTCTGGTTAGAGGACTGGCACCATGCTTAACCCAGAAAAAAAAAAGGCACTCACACACAGCTTAAAAATAGCTCAGTCACAATAATCCAAGCATACGCAAGCAGAGTGCCTGACGTTAGTTCAGAGAATATGTTCATTCCCGTCTAAAAATACAGTCTCTGCCCCCCTCTAGGCAGTGACGCAACAACGGCACACGCCAATGCACAGGGCTCATCACAAAGCAGGCTGCAATGTTTCTGCTCCGATTTCAACTGAAGCTAACCATAACTACTAAATACTTTGTCCTAGTGTTTTATTCTTTTCCCATCCTTGTTCCTGCAGGTTATTAAAAAGTGCAACCTGAGGCAGGACCAAGCACCAGAAGGTGCATAAAACTACTGCGAATTGGGCACTAAAGGTCACAAGTAACTTCTTTGAAGGAATTTGTCACAAATCGGAGGACATTTGCAGACAGCACCTGATTAAATATGTAGCAGCAAGAAATTTAAGTGACACAGAAGAGAAGCAGCTTTTTCATAAGATGAAAAAGCCACATTTTCCATTACAAAGAACTCTTTGCCCTTTCGGTCTGTCCTTTACCACAATGATGTCAAGTTGCATTAAAATATCTGTCTGCGAAGGCAGCATATGACATAAGACAGGGGGAATATATGCACAGCAGAGAGGGTGCGTGCCCCAGGATAAAGAGCAACAGCTGGGCTTTGTCGTCAAAGGAAGAGCCTAAGACCTCTGGAGTACAGAGGGAGGTGGAGGAGCGAAGAACTTGGTGAATCCTTCAGGAGTTAGAAGAGCAGGGGCTGCATGCAGGCTAAATTTATTTAAAAGTGGAAACCGTAAGCAAATAGTCAGCCACTGCGTTGGCCTTAAAGTACATTTCAGGCATTTTTGAACATGAGCGATCTGATTAAGGGGGGACGTCACTGCATCTCAATCAGACAAAAATCTGACTTTGACTAGCCCACGCAGTCTACATTTAATAAAATGTCTAACAAATGAAATAAAACTAGAAAGGAGTTATTCTCTTTGATATAAAACAGAACTGATTTACGACTAGAGAGCCGTGATCTCTTTTCAGACACACTGGCTACTTTAATCTTTACATATAAATCTATTAAAAATGTGATGTTATCAACCTTTAAGTGGATCATTTGATAAAACCAGAGAAAATAGAATATTTACAAGAGGAATGGGAAAGAGTTAGGGTGCACTTTAATAAAGAACAGAATAAGTGAGCAAACATTCCCCTTTTTATTCTGTTTAAGAGGCAGCCAGGATTCTTTGTTTGCAGCTGAAATGATAATCTATACTAACTGAGGTTTTAAAATTCATGAATGTCCTTTATATGTAATAAAGTGAGACCTGAATGAAAAGCTTCAGTGACATGCAGAGCGAAACTATAAGTAAACTATCATCTTGAGAAATTTACAGTAAACCTGTGAAGCTCCTTTAACACCCTGTAAGTTGGTCACTGTC